AGGTTACAAAAATGTTAGGATATAGCTAGAGACTGTCTCTATTACCTATTAAAATCCAACCTGGTTTGGACGAAAAGTGGTAGAGCTACAGTAATTCTTAGTTGAGCTGGTGCATGGTGGAGGAGGTTTAGAACCACAATATTACCTAAAAAATCACAAAAGTCCCTTAGACGGCTGGGGAGAGAAAGCCTTTCTTACACCCTTATTGGTTAGAGAGATGGGGCTTGCGCCACTAAGGCTACTAGCAGGGGCTTGCCCCTGTCGAGGCTCTCTCCCCATCTCGTCTGAGCTTGCTGAGATAAGACTCTATACTGTACGAAAAAGGAGCTAGTCCTAATAAGTGAATAGCGCAGTACATGGGTATAGTATCGTGTGAGACACGTGCGACAGATAATAGGAGGTGACACTGTGTGGCACTACACGCCTAAGGCGATGCGTAGACTGATTGAGGAGAAGCTTCCGTGAACAGTGAGGGCTGGCTGGAAGATTGACGAGCATGATGACAATCGTCACGGATCCTGATTTCCAATCACTGGTTGTTAGCGACGATGACATCGTTGACCCGTCCAAGGCGACGTCATGGAGGGGTGGGAGGTTTACGTCGATGGCGGAAAAATAGTCAACATCGAGAGTGGAAAGAGCATATTCCCTAGCTTCGCAGAATGTGAGAAACTCTGTGGGATGGGCGGAGTGACATCGATACCGGTAGATATGCAATAATTCTAAGAACGCGTTGAGGCCCGATAGGAAGCAGACAGCTGAGGGTGAAGAACTGAACGGCTTCTTGTGCTTTAAGGATTTTAGAATTACTTACACTATGTTAGATGTGTTGTCGATGTTGCTCACAGCATCTCCTGAAGGAGTGAGTGAGCCTGGATAACAGAGTCTTCACGCCATGATTAAATTGCTTCTTGGCAGAAAGGATTAACGAGTCTGCGTGGTATAAAAATCTACCCACATGGTTCTCCTTCCACCAAGGAAACATGGAGCCTTTAAATCCCAACTCGCAAACAACCATAGTCCTACTCATATTTCATTTCTATCACTAGCACTACTAGACTGATACTTGAAGAGGACTTTGGCGGTTTGCTAGCCTATATGAGCTGGCATTCAACAATCCCCTCGCCCCCATTTTCTGGGCTCCAGACTTGGAGAACCTCCAATCCTGCCCTGGCAACCAATGCTCTCCATTGGCTTTCAGTCCTTTCTTGCCCCGAGTGCAATGCCATCATGGCAAGATCAAAACCGCACATAGCTAGCGGACAAAACTCATTTGGGAGAATAAAGTCGTTGATGAGAACTTTGGAGTGACCCCTTTTCATGGCTGAAGCGGTGTGGGAAAGAATTTTAACGCAGACATCGTCAGACCAGTCATGCATGATGAAGTGGAAGAAGTAAATCAGGGCGTCTGTCCCAAGTGTAAGCCAACCTGCAACAATATTGAGTGACCGTGTCACCGCTTACCTTTCACGGGCTGCGGTGTAAAGAAATCGTATTTGACCACTATAATCCTCTCATCGAGCGTTGGTATCCCGTCAATGACTGCTGGCAGATCTTCTAAGACAAGTCGGCCCTTTTTGTCCGGAAACTTGTTCTTGAAGTTCAGGAGGTCATGCCCGCGACCACCTGCAACGTCGACAAATAAAGTATCGCTATCCTTCAATTCAATCTTGAAGATTTGGCTTTCCACAGGCCACCAGTCAAGCCAGCTGGGTCGGGCGGCTCGAACGCCAGTCATGAAGGTGTTGAAGTTGTCGATAACCTCCGGTTGAGTGCGCCAATGGTCAAATGAGTTTTTTTCCGTCCCAAACGCATATTGTAGAGGCCCGGCACACGGATCATCAGGTTGGATGTAGCCATTTGCCCGAAAGTAAGACACCATCTTAGCCATAGAGCCATTGCATTGGTCCCAGCTGCCGAACTTATGTCATGAATGGTGTCCATAAATACTGGACACAGATTACTCACAGATGGATGTGGCCAGCCCGCATTGGCTCCGTACACATGATTTCAGTAACTGGGTTCGCGGCCCACGTATTCTCACAAATCTCTTGAACGAATCCCAGAGCTGCCAGTGGTCGCAGCAAACGCACTATCGTTGTCATTTTGTATACATTCTGCTGAATTAAGAATGCAGTAGAATATTCGTACCTATGAGCTTTTCTGAACCGCTGGATGCCATCGCAAGATCAGCGGCCGATACTGGTGTTGAGCTTGCCGCAATCAAGTTGAAAAGTTTCATATCGACCGCAATCCGAGCTGCAAGTGCGTAGGTAGGCTGCGGAGTGCACCATCAGTCATCATTCATGCTTCTTGGAATGACCTGGTTCATTCATACGAAGAGACTCAATTCAAGGGCTACATCGGCGGGATCTTGGAGCTGGACAGCAATTTGTCTATTCAGTTCGACTGCCTTGGTGCGCAATTTGGGATTGGACGCAAAATCCGGTTGCTGGGAAAGGGAAGAAAGCTCATCGATCAAAGAATTTGCAGTAACCCCCATTTTGATGCTGAAAGAACTGTCCTAACCGCAGCGTTTTGGGAAGTGGTCACCTTCGGAAGGGAGACAAGAGAGCTTTTGGTAGTGAGGACGGCCCGAGACCCTCAACAACCAGCCCCGAAGCGAACAACAAACCCGAACGCGATATCGGCTGCTGCATTGCGGCGTTGAGTGCTTGTTGCCGAGATGATCTGACCTCCACACCACATTCAGCCGGTTTCATTGGGCAGCAACACCCGAGTCAGAGGTAATCAGCAAAGTTTAGCTTGCAGAGGAGAATCTGGTACAGAGGCAAGGAAGCGGATTTTGTGTGAAGGAAGTAATTGGTGGCGCGAAGCCTCCTTCTCGCTTATGTTCTTTGCTTTGCAGCTGCAATACTCCGCATAAGCGCGGATGTGGGGAGGAAGCCGGTGTCAAACTTACCAGTATGGCGGATTCCAATCACGCTTTTTCTTCATTGTCAGATTGGTTTGGCGTTTGAGGCTTGTCTCAGACGCACAACCTTATCACTCCAGTCAATATTCAACTTCGACTGTGCTCTGCTTTCCACCCAGCCATCCATGCTCATGTGCACACCCTGTTCCGTGCGTGTGAACTGATATCCCTTCCTGAAAGGAGCAGACCGAGTTCGAGGGGTCTATTCCTCGATTACAGGGCAATGCTCGTTCATCTCAAGTCAAGGAGTAGATACTTCAGCAGGAAAGTCCTCTGCGCTCCTCAACCTTATTTCCCAAGCGCTGTTTGCGAATACCATAAAATTTTCATTAATTTTGACTTCGGAAGATGCCCATTGTGATCATGAGTCCAAGAGACGCCCCCAATGCCTCCAATGCCGGGCCTGCGCTTTCATCAATCTCGTGGACACTCTTAGCAATCTCAATTATAGTTGTTGCGTTGCGATTCTACGTGCGCTCATGCATCGTGCGGCGGGTTTGGTGGGACGATTGGACCGTTCTAGCTGCACTTGTAAGATCTGTCAACGAAATATACTACCTGTAGAAAGCTGATAAAACACCTCATAGAGCCTCGGAATTGTCAACACATCCACGGTCCAAGTCGCTATCAATCACGGCCTTGGACGGCACGCCAGCGCCATTGAGGATCCACTCCAGATCATGACTGCGATTAAGTGGGACTACATCTCGCAGCCAACTTGCATCATGGTACCGGCCTTTGGTCGAATTTCACTCGCGTTGCTGTTATTGAATTTCGCGGGCAATACACGGTTCCGACGCTGGCTTCTTTGGTTTCTCATCGTTGGGCAATTTATCATCAACAGTCTGACGTTCATCTTTATCCTAGTTCAATGTAAACCTATCGAGCTTCTGTGGGACAAGCGTGTCGAGGGCTCTTGCTGGGATCTTAGGTTCCAGGAAGACTTCGGATACTTTCAGGGCTCCTTCAACTCGGCAACCGACTTCATTCTCGCGATTTGCCCAGCCTTTGTTATCTGGAACCTGAACATGAAACTTTCGGAAAAGATAAGTTTAATTTGCCTTATGGGACTGGGGATATTGTAAGTGCTAATGCCGTTAAAGTATTGTCACATTAGCTGACTTCCCAGTGCAATGGCGGCGTCAATTGTGAAGACTATTCTCTTAAAGGCCGTAGGAAGCAGTAATGATTACACTTATACTACTGCCATTGTGATTCTATGGAACACGTTAGCCGACCAAAGGTTATGGTGTCTGATTTCGGCTAACACGTTTCCAGAATCGAGCAATATCTTACCATCATCGGAGCTTCAGTAGCCACCCTCAAGCCCTTGATTCGGAGACTCCAGCGGAAGGGTAACCCATCCTATAATGCCAGTGCAAGTGCTGGCTCGTATGGTATGAAACCTTTGAGCGCCAAACGTCGCTCCCTAGGACACACTTCAACTTCAAAGTATGCAGCCGAGCACTTTACTAAGCCGCGGGGAGGCATCGACGACGACGGGTCTAGCCAAACCAATATACTAAGAGCAGAGGACGGCCAAGATGGTAATATTTGGAAAACAGTAAACATTTCAGTTCAGCGGGAGAATACTTCGGCTGCTTCTAGTTAAATGCGCGAGAAAGAAGGGTGTCATCGAGCTTCAGTTCAGGCACGTGTCTCAAGATCGCCAAGAAGGCCTCGGGTATGACATACTTGAAGGAGACCATGGAGCTTGCCGAGCATATCTTTTTGCACATGTACCTTCTTAGAAGTGTCGTTTCTAGAAGTGTAGATTTATGATGTAAAGATAGACATTGGCTAGTGGCATCAGAGCAGTGGGGCCGAATGATCTTTGGGCTGCCGACACCGCATCGGGCATAGCTCAGAGCCGTACCATCCGCAGGTTCCCCGGAACGCTAAATCGCGGGACAGCTCGTCTACCTCTCCACTTTTCTTCAACTCGACTTCTTCAGCATCGTCTGTGACATTTGCAACAATAATGCCAATGGCGGGAGATTTCAGGCGTGTAGAGACATTCTGCCGTCTCCCGAGAAGGAGGTGCGTTCTTCATGCAGTACCGGACGCGTTACACAGCCCTCTCTGCGTGCGGTTCCACGTCCTCGGAAATGGACCCATGCCCTATCGTTGCGGCACAGCACACAAGGTATGTCAGAGCGACAAAAGCACCCTCTAGGTCTAGTCCTTGATCATAAGCACTCCTTATGAGGGCGGAGCTATCGTGGCATAGCCCATTCAAGTTACGCGTGCCAGCTATTGAAGATGAGGTTGCCGAGTATCCAGTCTGTTTCCGTTGTATGATATTCTTCGCAGCCATACCAGGCCGCAATCGGAGCGCAAGGATGACATGCATCCTGCTCTCTCGACCTGATACCCTGGAATGTACACAGTGCAGCTCGGGTAGCTAGGGTGTCTCCAACTGGATGCGCCCTCTCCTGCACAAGAGTCATGGGTAGCGTACTGGGCACCTTCTCGTTTTCGCCGATCGGTGAAGGAAATTTGGACTTGACATGAATGGGGTGGCCCATACCCTGGGCATACTTACCGGATTGCACTTATACTCAGGCAATCTGCACGACTGAGTCCCCTATCACACTGTTCCAGCTTCCATCCAGAGCTCCTTCCTGTTTATTCTGTCTCATTCCATCCAAGCAAGGGCATGGCTCTCAGTGTCGAAAATATAGAGAAAGCGGAGGTATGCGAGGTAGTCGTCTCGCCCATCGACCTCAGCAAGGGTTCCGGATATGTTTTAGATGCATCCGCAAGTGGTGCGGAGCTGCTAAAAAAGACCACTGATGGGAAGACCGTCCTGTTTGTTACACCACTCAGGGCTGCAAAATTGACGCTTACGGACCTGCAGAATACCTCAACCCACCGACGATAAAGCCGATCCCCTAAACTGGTCAAAATACAAGAAACATGCAATTCTCCTTGTGGTATCTGCCGCAGCATTCCTGCCCGACTTTACGTCCGCGATTGGAGCTGTCGCATTGGTACCTCAATCCGTCCAGTACGGTAAGGTACCAGACGGCATTATTCCATCTCTCGCGGGGAATATCTTTATGCTCGGCGCCGGTGGCGTTCTAGTAGTCCCTGCGATGGCCTACTTTGGACGTCTTCCAGTCTTGTTCTGGTTTATTCTCATGGCGCTTTGGTCAACGGCCTGGTGTGCTGCCCCAGCAAACTTTGAGCAGTTCATGGCTGCCCGAATTATCAACGGGTTCTTCTCCACAGTTGCACAAGGAGGTGGATTGATCTTCATCAACGACATCTTTTTCGTTCATGAGCATGCTCGGAAAATCAATATTTGGTCCTCCTTCATCATCATATCGCCTTACCTCAGCCCTCTAATAACAGCGTTCATTATCGAGAAGCATGAATGGAATTGGGCTTTTTGGCTAGCGACCCTCCTTCATGGCCTCTGTCTCATTGCTATCGTGTGCATTGGTGAGGAGACTTACTATGATCGACGCATTCCAGAAGACCAACAACCTGCTCAATCCTCACGCCTGAAGCGTCTCGTTGGCGTCGAGCAATGGAAGTCTCGAGAGCGTCGCAACTCCTTCGTCGGTGCCTTTTCACGGCCTGTCCTTGCCATTTGCAAGCCCGTTGTGCTGATCTGTACGATCTACTACTTTCTCATTTTCGCGTGGACAGTTGGTATGTGCGCACTACATCCTGCCTCTGCGAGTCCAAACTAACATAATATCGAAAGGCGTTAATACTACGCTTAGTATCTTCCTCCAACCGCTATACGGCTTCGGTGGGACTCAGCTTGGTAAGTCTAGATCTCCCATTCACCCCCGTTACCTTTAAGTAATACCAGTGTAGGGTATTTTTATTTTACAGCCGTTGTCGCGGGCATACTCGGTGAAGTGACAGGTCATTGGCTCCATGATTATAATGCTTCGTTTTGGATGCGTCGCAATAAGGGGGTTCTCGAACCGGAAGCTCGACTTTGGGTTCTCTGGATAGCCACCCCTTTCATGGTTGCCGGCCTCATCCTGGTCGGCTTTGCGTATCATAACGTCTACCACTACATGGTCGTCGCATTTGGTTGGGGCATCAACGTCTTTGGGATTATGATCAGCACTGTCGGTCTCAATGCCTACGTCCTCGACTCGTACCCGAATGCGTCTGGAGAGGTCTCAGCTTGGCTGAACTTCGGGAGAACTACTGGAGGTTTCATGGTTACGTATGTTCAGATTCGCTGGGCTACGAAGATGGGTCCGCAAAACAGCTTTTCTATCCAAGGATCGATTGTTGCAGCTGCGTTCTTCCTTATCGTTGGACTCCAAGTTTGGGGAAAGAGACTGCGGAAGTGGGGTGGCGAGCTTAAATTCCAGACCAACTAAAGAGGAAGCCCACCACTTGAGATTGACGTACTGTTACATCCTACCAATTTCCCCTATGTCGGACTGCTCCCTCCAAAGGCGCCTTAGTCTCTATGGATTGGAAATTCAGTTCAATGGCAACGACCCTGGGCAGAATGCAATAAACATTTAGTTTAAAACACGACGTTGCGCCTTGAATCTCTTGACATGGTCGCTTTCAAACCAAACATAATTAAGTTTTTCGTCCCACTTCTTGGTTTAATATCTGAAGATGCATATGTGTAACAAATAATATTATATGACATGATGCTAGCAACTCAGAACGCCGTAACGCGTACGCACCTAGGAGCCACGTATAGATCGACCTGAGCCTGGTTAGGCGACGACTTGTGGTTTTGCCACATTTTGCCACAATGACCGGGGTATTGGAGTGTTATCGATAAGTGACCACGTGACCTCCTCGTGGAATACCCAAACAGGTATCCCCAGTGCTGGCGATAGATCGATCCGATTCGTGGATCGATCCGAATCCACGCTATCCTGAATCTGGATTAGATCCTTGAATTAATTTATAGTCTTGGCTGAAAATTTGCTTCCCTATTAACAAAACAACTTTAAAAGTCTTATATAATAGAATCCTATAAATTAAGCTTAACTCTAGTGCCTAAAAATAAGGGTAGTAACATTAGAAACTTTGTATAACTACTAATGTCTAATAAACCTACTAAATAAAACAGCTAGCTTCTCTAATACTGCAATTTCTACAATTGCAACTACGCTTTAGAGGTTGTTATAAACTTTTAAAGGCACTTAAAATCTAACTACTAAGTTTTAGCAAAGAGTACTTTTTCTTTTATATAACAAGCAGGTGCTATTAAACTCTAAGAGCTATAGGACTGCGCAGAACCTTGCATAAGAAGAGATATATAGAATGCTGCATTTAGAGCCTATCTAGATAAAGATATTATTTAAAAGGCTTTTATATAACTAATTATTTAATAGTGTTTTACTTTTTTAGTTATTAAATTATTATCTTTTTAGGCTTTTATACAAGCATTAAATTCTATTACTAAAAAGGCTATTCTAGTTTTACACTTTACTATTTATATAGCAATCTAAAGCTATTAGTATAAAAAAAAGCTTATTCTTTAGCACAAGATTTAAATAGTAACTTTAAAGATTAATATTACACTTAATCTCTAAACCTCTCTAAACTAAATCCTATTTATTATAATTACTAGACACTTTATATAAAGCTTAGATAATACTGTTACTAAACACTTTCTTACTTTATAACTAGTCTTAGGCTATTCTAGTAAAGAACAGTTCTCTATACTTTATATAGTACTTAAGAAGTACAAGATTACTAAAAATCTAGAAGCAGTTATTAGAGATAATGCTAGCACTAATAACACTCTCTATTATATAATTAGTAAGTAGTATTCTAACAAACTTAATCTACATTAGAATTTTAAGAATAAAAAAGTTTACTATCTTAGTTATATTATTAATCTTATTATGTAAGCATTTTTATTTTTAAGTTTATATAAAAGTTATCTTAAAAATCTTAAAGCTACAGACCTTAAAAAAGTAAATAGATTACCCCCTAATTCTATATAACAAGATATAATTAGAGCTATTAGTCCCCTTAGCAAACTTTATAACATTATAGTCTATATTTATAGTTTAGGGCTTTGTACAAATAAGTTTATCTTGCAAGCTAGACAGATAATACCCTTAGACAATTGTACAAGATAGAACAGCTAGTATTATATAATTAATACAGCAATTAAGCTTAAAATGCATGTAGATTTTTACATTAAAAACTAACTTAATCTTAAACATAATACTTTAGAGACAAAGGATTAGAAAATGCTTTGTATAATAAAAACATTCTTACAGATTTTTAAGAATGTAATCCTTTAAAATAAAAAAGATGTAAAATGCTTTAGACAGGCTCTTTCTTCTCTATAGATCTTATAGACTTACATAATAGCTTTCCTAGCAAAACATAAAAAGGGAGATACATAATTTAATAAAAATTATGTTGTACAAGCTACCTAGGCACTTATAGCATAGCAAAAATAGTAGAACTTACTTTAAAAGCATCCTCTTTACTAAATTGCAACAGTTTTGTATCCTTATTATTATATAAACTAGGCTAATAAGGTAATGCTTGCCTTAAAGTTTTCTACTAAAAACTAAAAAGCATAGAAAGCTTAGCTAAAATAATTCTAGCTTAATTTTTAATTTAAATATTAAAATTTATTATTAACACCTCCCTAAGGTAAAGCGTAAGAGTAAAGAAGATAATAGGCTACTTATTATATAACAGCACAGATTATTTATAAAGTCTAGAATTATTTAATTAAAGCTATAACTAAGTAAATTCTTAGTAATTAGGCTTTAGTAGAGAATCTAGATAAGTAGGCAGAGTATACAGAAAAGCTAGCAACAAAAGGGGTTAAAGATGTATTAAAATAGTAGTAGAATAATATACAATAATCTTAGTAGCCCCTTTTTACTTATCTTGCACTTAAGATCTACTCTATACTACCTATAAGTAATAAACTAGAACATATCTTTTTTAAAGCATGTTATATAATCTTTTAGACTTAAGCATTATTAAATCTTAATATTATTAAAGTAATTAAATCTTTAAATTACTAGTTAAGTTAAAAATAAGTAGACTATTTAAAAAAGTAAAGATCTTTATTTTCTATTTTATTCTTTGCTTATAAAAAGACTATTAATTTTAAGTAATTTGTTGTACAATGTTTTAGCGCCTATTTTTATTATTACTTTTTAGCTCCTTAATCTTGTATAGGTAATCTGTAACAATGTTGTTTACACTAGAAGACAAAGTTGCTAGGGGACCTATACTATTATTAAGTGTTAGACAATACTAATTAGGTTAAGAGCTATTATAGTAACTATAACAGGCAGCTTAATCTTTAAATTTGCAATTAGCGTAAGCAGCTGCTTACTTAGATAAGAGTAAAACACACTCTAAAAATAAACTACAGTAAGGATAGCTAGTACACTCTACTATGTAAGTTAGTTATTATACAACATGTAAGATAAAAGGCATATAGTAAGGTTCTATATTAATAGTACTATAAGTCTAAATTAACACTACATTAACATATAATAGGCAGTAGGTATTTAATTAGAAGGCATAAAAAGTGCTGCTGTAGTATTTAACATTGTTATAAGGTGCAGAGAGAACTTGTTTCTGCTAAATCTAAAATTATTAGCTTATTATACAATAAAAGAAGTAACTTACAGTATACGCTACAACTTCTAGAGCTGCTTGTACGTTTAGGTTAGAGGCAGCAGGAAAAACCTAGATGCATCTTTTGCAGCTATTAGCGCTATGCTGCTTCTAGCTATTTTTATTGTTCTTCTTAGTGTTCTAAATTGCAATGTCTATGTTTTTGTATAATAAGATAAAAAGAAGATACTTTCTGTAATGCGTGTTATATAAGGTAGGGCTTAATATACATTTTTTTCTCTATTATTTAGATTTTAAGCTATTAACTGCTTTTATTATAAATAGAATCTTATTGTCTTAAGCTAAATTTTTATTAAATGTTTGTTGTACAACCTATTAAGAGTACAATAGCATAAAAAATTAAGTAAAAGACTAATTGTTTAGAATAGTTGCCTATTTAGCCTTAGCGCTGGATTGATTCATGGATCCGATCCAGATCCAGGATAGCGCCACGTGATTCCGGATAATCGATTCGGACCGATTCCCGCCAGCACTGGACCGTATCCCGCAGCAACGGAGAACCCTTGCCAAAAGTTCCCAACCTTTCACCGTAACATTTCAACGTGGCCAATCACGAACAAACACTCCAAAAACAAACAGCAAAGTTGGTGCTCAATCGAAGCTTGGAAATTCCCTTCTATCCAGAAACCTTCTTCCTTCCCATTTCCACTCAAAGATTTCGCAAACCTTCCGTTGCGATCATCGCCATAATGTCTGATCTCGACGCCACAACTCCTCGTGTCTTCCTTGCTCGACATGGTTGGTATCTCCTATCTGCCCAAGGCCTCAAATATAGCCTAATCAAATTCTAGGCGAAACTGAATGGACCAAGAACGGTCGCTATACAGGAAAGACTGAGCTCGACCTCACCCCCGATGGCGTCCGGCAAGTCACAAGCACAGCAGCACAATTCGTTGGCCACAGAAAATTAATCGATCCGGCCCACGTTGCACGCGTATGGGTTAGTCCGCGAAAGCGCACGCGGCAGACATTCCGATGCCTTTTCGACTGTTCTGACGTCAGTATCGCCGACAACAAAGTCACTTTCACGGAAGATATCACTGAATGGGACTATGGCGATTACGAAGGCTTGCTGGTGGGTGAGATTCGAGCGGGTCGGGTCGAGAGAGGGCTGGATAAAGAGAGAGGTTGGAATATTTGGAGGGATGGATGTGAGGGTGGCGAGTATGTATCTCTCATATAGGGTGATAACCCTTGGATGCTGCTGACGTGCTTCATAGTTCTGCTCAGCAGGTGACGGGCAGATTGGATCGACTAATCGCAGAGATTCGCGATATTCAACGACCGTATATGAATGGCGAGAAACCTGTTGATGTAGTTGTCGTAGGTCCTCCGTTTTGTCGCCATTTTTGCAAACAAGTTAACTTTTGCACGAGGTCGCACACGGCCTTATCTTGCGCTGCTTCGTGAAGAGATGGCTGGGTTATCCACTAGATATGCCATTGACATTAATGTTATCACCAGGGGGGATTGGCATTCTTAGGTGCGTGTTTACGTAACTTAAAGGGACAAAGGGTGTAAACCGTTGACGGTGAACAATAGCTATAAGAATCGCGACATAGATGAACCAGCCCTCTTCATTGGTATATCCATCCCGCCGCTGGAGGATTAGATATGGGAGGGGAAACGTAGTGAATCGCGACTGCGACCAAACACATTCGCCTACAAGCTTCCTAGAAGAAACTATGCCACTCCCGCCGGTGGTCTTACTCTTATCTTCCCCGCTAGCGTTTCTAATCTATATGTTTTGTTGCAGTAGCCACGCATAGCTCTCATGCATGGCTCACACAATAGTCGCATGTCATAATAGTCTTATGTTGCCAAGACTTACCCCTTTTCTTGCATATATATACACCCCTAGGTACACTTCTTTAGTAATTAACTATAATGCATATGTACTGTTCTGTGCGCAAAATTAACTGTTAGCTGATTCTTCACACCTTTTTAGGTGTGATAGCAGAGTGTTGCAGAACCCTGTCCTTACAGTAACTTAGTTTCTCATCTCTACTTTTACTAAAAGTTGTATAGTTATAATTCTAGTAACTACTTGCTAGTTAATTAACCTGTTTTTAAACCTATATAAAAAACAGCTTCTTTAATACTGTGTATATAATATTATAACGTTTTGTTACGCTTACTGTAACGATTCTCATGAATCGTTCCATCTCGGGTCGCTTAGAACCTATCCGAAGGGTCCCCGTATCGGCCCCGACCTTGACTCGACCCTGTCCCCGCAGTTACCCCTATTCCCTAAGTATTTAGTTGCACCTCTCCCCTTAGCTAACTTAGTAGTTTTCTAATATCCTTTTATATAACGTACCTAACGGGTTGGCCGGCCACACGGGTTGGCCGGCCACTTTTGCCAAGCCCCCACTAAAACCACCCCATTCTCTCGCAAAACAGCCCACTTTAGCCCTGTATAAAGTAATATAACATAAGATATTATTTAGAGTCTACTTCTACTACTTGCTTACATGTATGTAAGTTATGCCTAGTCTAATTGCACTGCCTGCATTGCCTTTAACTTAGCTTACCTTCTTTAGCGCGCACCTGTGTCTTTAGCTTCTTTCTATTACTACGCGCTCTAAACTCCTTTAGAGTAGTTAGACAAGCTTTATTCTTAACTATTAAAGTTTTTTCTGCCTAAATCTGCTTTCTTTTATGCAATTTATATTATGTAGCAGCCTTATTTGCTGCTTAAAGCTTTATAATCTTATAGCCTACTCTATTACATTAATGCTTTAGATAACTATTGTCTACTTTTTATTACCTTACTATATTACCTTTAGCTGTCCTTATCTCTTTAAAGCTATAACAACTACTCTAGTTAATATCTAGCCTATTATAAAGCTTAACTTATTAAAGTTATACCTGTCTTTATCTTAGATACTATACTTAGCTTTTATGTTAGCTACTAGGCAAAACTAGCTCTAGATAACCTCTAGATCCTTATAAAGTGCTCTTTTATAATTATACTTATAATTAAACTTTATTATAAACTTAGGGCAGTGCTTAACTTACATACTAGTCTAGTTTAAGCTAACTTAGCCTAGATTACACTCTATAGGCAAGAAATTAGCTATATTAGCTATATCTGCAAGCCTAGAAAAAAATCTACGTGTAATAAGCTTAAGTATGTACTTAATAACTACTTTTTTTTTAAGCTTAGTTAGATTCCTTAATTTAGGCTAGCATTCTGCTTATAAAGGCTGTCTAGCGCGTTAATTGCTTAGTGTTGTGTAAGAGACATTATAGATAGCTGCAGCACGTTCTAAGAAGAGTTTTAAGTTTTATTTAAAAGCCTAAAGAGTAAGCTGTATCTAACATTCTTTAGAAGATTTAATCTAGTGTTGTTGTTAAGGCATTATGTAGATAGGTAGAGTTTAGTAGGGGCTTAGCAAAAGTGGCCGGCTAACCTGTGTGGCCGGCCAACCCGTTAGGTACGTTACAGCCTATAGGTGTTAATAGAATTCCTAGGTTATTAAGTCCCCACACACTCCTGTATGCCTCTAAGTGGATTCCTACCGCATTCAGATCCATTGTCTTGCCTGCGCTGTTACACTTACTACTTTAAAGTTGTTTCTTTATAACACTCTAGGTATTTTTTAGACTAATTAGTTTCTAATTCTAACTCTATACTATAAAAGCTAGCTTAAAGTTTCTATACTACTAGTTATATTAATTACTTAACCTTCTAGCTAACACAGCAGAAGGATATATATATGCAGATAGTTGTATGCTACACCTATTCTTACATAGCTAGGTAATTAGAAATAGGTTACTATAATCTAAAGCATGTACACTACTAGCTATATATTATAACTACTAGACATAATGTTGTAACGATTCTCGTTCCATCTCGGGTCGCCCAGAAGCTATCCGAAGGGTCCCCGTATCGGCCCCGACCCTGACTCGACCTGGCCCCGACTCTGCCCTGCCCCCTGCTGTTACCCCTATTCTCCCATGTATTTAGTCGCACCTCGCCCCCGTAGCTAGCTCAGTAGTTTTCTGATATCCTTTTGTACAAGGCCTATAGGTGTTAATGGCATTCCCAGGTTCAGAGTCCCCACGCACTCCCATATGCCTCTAAGTGGATTCCCACCGCATTCAGACCTATTGTCTTGCCTGTGCCGTTACAAATGTAATTATAGAGTTTAGTAGAAAACTATAAGTCTAAGTAGGTAATTTTAAATCTAAGTAGATAACTATAAGTCTTAGTAGATAATTACTTGTTTTAGAAAAGTGCTTTCTTTATTAGTAACTACTTTTACGTATATAGTCTAGCTCTTCTAGTTTATTTAAAAAAGTATCGTTATTCTAAGCCTTATTCTTATAATAATAGAACATTATCTAATGCTTTTCTATAGTAAAGTAGGTTTTGTACTTCTCTCTTTTTTAATAAAGCACTAAAGCCTATATAATCTAATTAGCTACACTATTACTTGTTATATCTTCTTCTCTTTTTCTAATTCTTTACTAACCTTTGCTTAGCTGTAATAGTAATAGAGAAAGATAGTTAAAGAACTAATTTAAGAAAAGATGTTGAAATAAAAAAACTGTTAATTATTCTATACTAGGTAGTAGTATGTGAAAGTGTTACTTTTAATTTCTTAAATAATTATATTATAGTGTAGACTATCTATTATACTTAGTAATAATTTAAAAATAACTATAAAAAGATAATCTAGCTATAAAATCTATAGTTTTTATATATCTTTTTATTTCTTAGCTTAGTTGCTACTAAGCCTTATAGTTATAATACTAATCTTGTGTTTACTTTTTTAGCTACAACTATTTTAATAAAACTTATAACATAAGCTACTTTATATATTATTATGTTTTTATTATATTTACTCTTTCTTTTTATACAAAGAGAGAGTGTTCTTATATACACATAACCTTTAGTATATAAGCTAGAGATTATGTTTTAATTAATTTAAACGCTAGTAACCTTTTCTTATTATAAAGTTGCTTATCTATTCTGCCTTTTCTATCCTCCTCTTCTAGAGAGGGGGGGGGTAAAGAGGCGTATAAGGGTTTAGATGTAAGCACGCTTCTATACAGAGAATTTAATTAAAAGAGAGAGAGAGAGGTGTATAGAAGCTTTTAAAAAGCGCGCTCTTATATAATTATTTTAATTCTAGAGAGGGGAGAGAGTGTAGGCATAGACGTATAGAGGCTTAATAAGCACGTCTCTGTATAGAGAATATAATTAAGGGGGGGTGTACAGAGGCTCTTAACATGCACGCTCTTGTACAGTTAATTTAATCCTAGAGGAAAAGGTAAAGAGGCAGACAAAGAGCTTAATCTCTTCTTTGTGTAGCTACGCACACAGTAGAGATTATTTATACAATAATTTACAAAGAGGTAGTAATAATTCCCCTTCTCTATATAGCTATACACATAGTAGAGAATTAATTATACACCTTTTTATAATTTGTCTCTAGGGCGCGTAAAAGCTTAGCAACATACACTCTCTCTACATAGCTACGCATGTTGTAGGTGCTAGTTTTTTTTTGTAACTAGTTAAAAAACTTATTCTTATAAATCTATCTGCTAGTAAATAGACGAATTGGTATTAAATAGCTTAGGTATTAGCCTAAAAGCATAGAAGAACTAGTAGCAGGTAATAATTATACTTAACTACACTTATTGTTTTATACAAACATAGAACACATACTCTCTAGCGTACAAGCTATAGATTACGTGTAAGGCCGGATGTCCCAGAACGGGCCAGTATGGCCTCACCTGACCTGTTTGGAGGTCGTATGACCTGTGCTTCGTATATAAGCATGAATCCTAACAAGCGAAGCTTGGCAGCGATTCGTCTCTCTTACAATACACTCCTATCTTTCTCCGAAAGCTTGCTCTCAGTGCTATCCGTGCTACTTACCATCCCATCTTTACATTACGTTCTAAATTATGTTTAAACATAAGTAGTTTTTAATTATTTTAATATATAGCTGTATACTTTACTACTAGAACTTTTACTTGTAGAAAAACTATTATAATTTAAGCTTATATAAATTTTTTATATAACTACTAACTTAAGCTTAAAAATCTAAGATTAAAAAGTAAGTAGTTGTTACAACTAACAAGTAGTTAGTAACCGAGTGTCAGGTAGCTAGTGGGTTAGATAATAAGCATTGGTGGAACCCTTCCTATCAGAGAACAAAGGCAAATCACGTGACCGCATAGACAAATGTGAAGCCGAATCGGCTGTTGCACCATTCGCTTCCATCCTGGGGGATGTTCCCTTCTATAGGAAAGCGCGCGCAGGGCTTGGACGTACTTGGTAGGCGCGCACAACGCGTATAACGCGCAAAACCTATGTATATAGTTAGATCTTAGCTATTATTAGAAGGGCTGTAATTAACATTTAGTCTTATCTTTACTATAGACTAATGTACTTTACAGGCAAGTTGCTTACACACCTAAGTTACTTACTTTTACTAAGACTCTACTAAACTACTTTTCCTACACTAATACATTTCTAACAACACTACTTAGATGTGCTAAAAGAATGTAAGATATAGTTTATACTTTAAACTTTTAAATAAAATATAAAACTTTTAAAGAAACATGCTATAGCTATATATAAAGTTCTATAAATAATAATAAATAACTATAGCACTAAATAACCTTTACAAGCTAATTCTACAGCTAACTTATAAAGGCTATGTAATAAAAATAAGTAGGTAATTATTAAGACTATACTTAAGCTATATGCGCAAAAATTTTCTCTTTAAATAGCATTTATAGCTAATATAGCTAATTCTTTACATACTAAGCAAAATCTAGGCTATGTTAGCATAAACTAGCCTAGTATGTTTATAAAGTGTTATTTAAAGCTTAAAGTAAAGTTTTAAGTGTAAGTATAGTTAATAAATGTTTAGCTTATTATAAAGCCTATTTTACTAAAGTTATACATGTTATTATTTTAGATAATATGCTTAGCTTTAATATTCTTTATAAGGCTAAACCTGCTTTAAATTACTTTAGAACTCTTATAAAAAGCTCTTTTATAGTTATACTTATGCTTAAATATTACTTTAAGCTCTAAATAACACTTTATAAATATACTAGGCTAGTTTATGCTAACATAGCCTAGATTTTACTTAGCGTGTAAAGAATTAGCTATATTAGCTATAAATGCTATTTAAGAAGAAAATCCTTGCGCATATAGCTTAAGTATAGTCTTAATAATTACCTACTTATTTTTATTATGTAGCCTTTATAAGTTAGCTCTAAAATTAGCTTATAAAGGTTATCTAGTACTATAGTTATTTATTATTATTTATAAAACTTTATACATAGCTATAGCATGTTTTTTTAAGAGTTTTATGTTTTATTTAAAAGTTTAAAGTGTAAACTATATCTTACATTCTTTTAGTGTGTTTAAGTAGTGTTGTTAGAAATGCATTAGTGTAAAAAAAGTAGTTTAGTAGGGTCTTAGCAAAAGTAAGCAACTTAAGTGTGTAAGCAACTTGCCTGTGAAGTACGTTAAGTAGTACTAATAGTTTCTAAAAACATTATACTATTATATATTTTCTATATATATACTCTAATTATTATCTTTTACAGATTGTTTCCCTTGCTTCTTATACAGCACTAGAGGCAAACCACGATAGGCCGGCCCACTACACCTGTATAGACGGCTGCTCGGACTGTACACCCGTGCATCTGCCTATCCTTTATCACGCTCCCTTCACAATCACACCTCGGCCCGTGTACCAAACCTCACGTCCGGATTAGCACGTGACTAGTAAGTAGAAATCGTAATAGTAGTAAAGCTAAGTATAAAAAGTGTAAGAAAAAGTAAACGTAGTAAAGTAGAATAATAAAGCATTACTAGCGTCTTCATTGTCTAGGAAGGCCTATAGTAGTAATTATACTAAACTAGCTCTGCTAAGTTAACAGCGCTATAGAAACTATAGAAAACTAAGCACAACACTTAAGTATACATGTTACAAGAATAAAGAAGAGGCATTAAAATTATATATAAGCATGTTGTACATAAGTTCTCTAGTTGGTTATAAATAAAATTATGTTTTTATTTATAGTATTAGTTACGCTAAGAGATTTTATCTAGCTTTGTATTGCTCTTTAATGAGCAGCAGCCTCTGTTTTTGTGCCTCAGCTTCCCCTCTCAACTTTTCTTCTTCCTTCTCGCTACTTTCTGTTGCCCCATGGACCCGGGAACAACCCTGGCCTGTGATTGCTGTGCCTAAAATATCTGAAGGTATAAATTAAGATTCATGGAAGGGCCTACACCAAGTGACACAAAGAGTTTGTGGAGAAAGGAACTAGAGGCGTGATGAATGAATTCATCCTCTGCACACAATGGAGGAACGAAAAGTGGATAACGACTTAGTTCGCCGTCTGGTGGAAAGACAAAAAGACTTGAAAAATCTGTTATTGGTGATGTTTGGGCATTGAGCGGCATATAGGGACCCGATGCGGAAATAGTCGATTCGAGATTGGGGTGTTGGGCGCTAGCGTAGAGATCAGAACTGCTGCTAGAGAGGTGACGGGAAGTCTCACATTCTGACCATGATAATGTTGGGGACAACTCATTTCTATCTATTCCTGTGCTTCTAGCTACACTTGTGGAAGTTGACATTAGTTCCAGTGCATTGTCGCTAATGCGCATGGTTTGAGGGAGCCATAACCCAGACGAGCCTGGTGCATCGCTCCCGGATGGCAGGGTTATCATCAACCATCCAATTGATTAGATTAAGAATTAATGTGTTTCATAAGGAAGCGGGCCACCTAAGTGAGCAGACTAGCAAACCCAACTAAAACGCCTGCGCAGCAACGTAGCGTAAGACTATGATAATATTTTATATTATACACAATAGTATACAATTTTTTAAATGCATTAGCGTAAACTAGTACTAAGCTAGACAAATTACAATGATAAGAATGGCTAGGTAGTCTGAGCCAGTTGATTGTGAACATGCTGGTGTTTGTAGTTCCCCTCACGGTTTCATCTAAAACTTCGCTCCGTTTGCTCCCAACAATGCCAACACCCACCATCCCCTGTCCATGCCAACGCGGTGGCGTTGACTCAGATTCTACTAGCGAACGGTTTTACACACAATTTGAGTCATGTCACTACCATCGCTCTGACGCGAAGAACTGTTTTAGGTAATTCATGGAACATATATTTCCCCAGCGCACCGTGGAGGCTTTATTGGGTCTATGATATCTACCTAGCTATGAAGTTCTCAACCATCACGGCAATATCTCTAGCATCGCTCGTGATTGTTCTCTTGTGGTGCCTTTTTGTTGTTATCATTTTTCGCAATTGGCCGCAGGACAGCATTGAATCTAAGGCCAAGCACACAGGGGATCGAGGAAGCACAACAAGCAGCACGATTTCGTCCGCGTCGCATTCATTTAGGTACAAATGTGGGGACCCTGAGATCGGGGAAGGCCAATTGCAAAATGCAAGCAGCGCTGGAGAAAAGATCCGAGACCCCTCACGTGGACAAGATGGCGTAGAGAGTGATACTAACAGAGGTTCCGGGATCCATAGTTTCGCTGGAAGAGCATACGAAGATATGGAATCTGGTCCACTCCCCACTCCATACGGGAATTCCGACTTGACGACTCACGAATCATTTGGACTTGAAGAACCCTTCGTTACCTCCGACCCAGCCACCCCAGAGAGTCCTCCCAGACCGTCTTTAGCTCTCTGTCCTGAAAGCCCATCCTCTAGCTACTACTTAGTAATGGATATTCACTTAACGCCGTCGGAGTCTAGCCGAACACCTAGAACCATTGAGGAGCTCGAGCCACAAACCGGTTCACATCGCCCGTCCCATTCTTCAACCTTTTTGAAAAGAGCACATGGGAAATACGCAGCAGGATTCCAAAGCCCTCATTATTCAGTCGCTAGTTCGTCCTCACAAATAACCAGCATAAAATACGCCGATGATTTGGTTCACCATCGGCTCACAGGACACACCGTTCACCTGCCACCAGATTGGGCCCGGCAGCATATCCGGAACGGGATTCGTCCTAGGCCAGTCGACCGCCCCGTGCGGCCTACAACTACAGCGGAAAATGTGGCAGATTGGAGGACACGAGTGATCAATGACGGGGAAGCGATAACTCCGAGACGCCTCCGTGATACCGAGAGGGATAAATCGGGCTTTGGTAGAGGAGATGAAGAGAGTAGATCAGGCTAGAGACTAACCGGAGCTGTGTGTGATATGTGAGCGCAAGAAACGAAAATCAAAATTGTGGTTTCCTCTCCTGCTCAATGCATGGCCTACTTACATTCGGAGATTGAGTGCCCAATCCTGAACGAGTGTGCCACATGCCTACCAAGTGGGTCCAGTCGAAAAAAAAATGACGGCCCTGGAAAGTTCGTCGTCACAGTTCGTTTGTACCGATTCGCGGATTACGAACAACACAAGCAGTATGTAAGACATGAAAGCGCAGTGGCATGGCCAAGAAGACAAGTCTATGATACAACGTAAACATGATGAGAACGAAGGTGAACGATATTCTCATCATGCAGTAGAGGACGCTGAGCAGCATCGAGATGAGTGAGATAGCCCCCGCGAGCTAGCCATGATCAGACAGCGGGTGGGTGATAGGAGATGCAGGGCATATCGTTAGGGTATTCGAGAGATAGGAAAGATTAGTCTGGCGCTGCCTAATTGTTGTTTCGTATCGTATAGCGAATGATCTTATTTGGAGAGTCTTGTGGAGTTCGTGTCAATTAAGTCCTATTTTTGCAAGCACACTCTCCACGAGAACTCCATTACTGGTGATGGGGTTGGATTTCATGGCCTGAGAAAAGGACCAAGTCTGCTGGAGCCGGCTAAAACCGGGCTGAAACTCAATGGTACAGGATGCCATGGCCCCTTGTGCAGTGTTAGAAAATGTATGGGAAGGTGCGGGAACTGTCAGTTAAAAATGTCCCGGTCACCTTGTCATGTTCATTCCTATGTCTATATATTAGTACATAATTTAGCTGAACTGGGATAGGCACTATTCAAGCATCTTCTGGCCCCATATCAAACAACAGGAATTCCGCCGGCGTCTCGCCAATGCTTTCGATCTCAATCTTCCCCGGGCCATGGACACCTTCGACGTAAGCGCCATCTCCCTCCCCTAAAACAGTATCCCCAACCTTTATCTTAGCACCGCCCTCTTTCGGTTGCGCCTTCTTGCTCATGACTACCTGAAGGAAGATTTTTCTTGGGCCGTCGGCCACAGCCTCGTGAGAGACTTTCTTCCCGGGTGACAAGATAGAAGCGTCCATGCTCAGATCAGCCTGGAGGCCGATCGGATCAGTCTCGCCGCTCTTGTCGCCTAGCCGGTCCGTATATTCCATAATTCTGACCATTTTGTTCTTTTTCATCTCATCAGAGAATTTCTTGGTCTCATAATGTGGCTTCAATCCCCGCTTGTTCGGCTTCGCCCAGATCTGCAAGAAATGGACTTCGTCATCGCGGTTGCGGTTGTACTCGCTGTGCCGGATGCCCGTGCCTGCATTTGTAAATTGAACCTCGCCACGCTTCAGGTTCTCAAGGTTACCCATGCTGTCTTTGTGCTCCAGTGTCCCGTTCACGATGTAGGAGAATATGAGGAATTCCGAGTGGGAGTGTGTTCCAAAGCCTGTTGTCGGCTTAACACGATCTTCATTGATGACGCGTAGAGGACCAAAGGATTTGTGTTGTGGGTCATAGTACGAGGCAAAGGAGAAGGTGTGGAAGCTGTAGAGCCAGTCGTGGTCGGCATGGCCTCGGGCGGCCCATGGACGCTTGGTAATCTTGAGGGACGAGGGGCTCGTCGTTGACATTGTTCTCACGTTTGACTTAGACAAGAACTTAGGAAATAAGTTTAAAAGAGGAGTAAAAAGCGCCAGGGTGACTGCTAGAATTGTGATGATAGTAGCAAAGGTCTTCGTAAAGATAAGAGGGGAATGCCGTTTACGGTTGCTTCCTGTCATCAGAAGAGAGTAGAAATGGCAAGCTCGACATCTGGAGCGGTTTATATACATGATTCATTGATGCTACAGTCAGTCCTAGGGTGTTGTAGAGGGTTCTTTGCATCTTTGAAGTCTGCTTGGAAATGCTGCGTCAGGCTTTAAGAAGGTCGCTAGCGATTTACTGATCAGGTAAGCGATGATGAAATCCTTGGCTAGTGGGCCTCTGCGCATCTTTATTGGTTAAAGAAGCGAGGGCGGAACGCTCCCGTCTCAATGTCCAAGTTCGCCTGTCGATCGGAGCACTCCCACAAATCCTTATCGATTGCTCACGTTTTATTCAATCAACGCTGCGAAAAGATCGCATCCTAAGGTTTTAAATTATAGAGCGAAGCAGATATCATCATGGCCATTTATCTCCCATATTGGCAATGTAGATCACGAGCAATCTTTGGAAGCAATTTCTCTTAAAAGCGTTGTAAGGGGAATCATCCATCGCGATTTACTGAGAGACACGATGGAGCTGTCTTGGTGATTGGATTACAAGCGGGTTGCATCTATTTCGAAGTCCAAATCAATAATCTATTTTTCTAAGCACACGACTATGGTCCTGAGAACAATATCTACTACCCCGACTACGAAATAACTGCAGTTGGCTGTCTGGAACAATTCCAGTTCCGCACTGAAACGAATGCGCTCATTGTGGAGAATGGGTTTCAGCGGAGCGAGGTGGCGACAGCCTAGTCGGCTACAGGCTACAGGTTAACACTCGAGGACCTTGAATCCGCACCCGAAAATTTTATCTGGACATTATCAGATGTGAGATAGTCTTCTGTATTTAGGTACTTGGACTCCCGACGTGGCACCAAAGCACTTCTCTTCTCCATATACCGTGGAGCGGAGGTTCAGCAATTTATTGATCCAAAGGAACAATGGATTCAGGAGGTGAAGGCCTTCTTTGAGCCGGCCTTTTTGAAAGCACGATTCACACATTCTTTGACCTAATTTAAAGACATTCTCCTCCTCTTCCTAGTGTGGCCGCGAGCGAGTATTCACATCGACTTTGTGACAGCATTCTCTTCCGTGATGGAAACTACCCAAATATCTACTTTGTTTGGCTGACGACATGTCTCATTTGTCTGCTCTTATTATGTTTATTCGGTTCCTCCATCTTCTTTGGAACGCTCCTGCCACCATAAAGGCTATTGCAGCCCTTGGCCTCATTATTTGGAGGTTATGCGGAAATCGATGGACGGGAGTGGGGCCTCTTTAATGCCTGGCGGCATTCGTAGATTTAGCGAATTCGTACCAGGTGCGTTAATTCTGGTACAGCTTTCGTTTCGCACCCATTTGCAACCGCGGCAGGCCGTATTTAGAGATAGTGGGGATTTTACATAAACTCGAATTATTGATAGAAATGCAGCTTGTACGATGAATCATATCAAACCTTGAATTCCGAGCGGCAATTCGATGAGGCGATTAGACAACGGGCGCAGGAACTGATAATATTCGCGAGGTTGGTTTCTCATTGTTGTTTAATTCACGTCAGTTAGCTTGATGAAAGGCGGTGGCTGCCCAGTCCTGGTTCTTCAATTTTGGGAGAGCCTTAGAAGGGAAAACACTACCGAACGTTTCCAGCGCCAAGTACAACATTGAAGAGAGAGAACTTTGAATAGTTGTTAGAACTCTATAGTAGAACTCCTGCTTTATTGAGCCTATCTCAAGAATTACAAAATTTGCTTGAACAAGAGAGCCCCATGGAATGTTCATCGCACCAGGCACATCTCAATTTATACTCCCACAATTCCACCCACCCTACCCCTTCAGACTCACCAACCCCAGCTCCCGGCCGAAGCCCTCCACCCTTCCCCTCCGAAAAACAAACAAGCCCTCATCTTTCCCCGCAAAACTCGGTAACGGCATCCTCAACACCAGCTCAAACTCCTTCTTCCACTCCCCCATCCAACCCTCCACCGTCTGGTTCTTAAACCCGGTAAACCCATTCTCATTCTGCGTACCAGCAACAACAATCGTATCACCCTGAAACTTCTTCAAAATCCCGCTCGTGAAATCACCCGTAGCTTGGGGGTACACGAGTAGCAGGATGCAGTTCTTTCCGCTGTCGATCGTGAGACCTTCGTAGTGGTAGGTATTGAGGAATTTGATGCCTGACATAGGAATTGTGTCCGGGATCCACATGACACGGTACTCACTGGTTCCGTTATCGATTGGGTAAACCTCTAGCTCCTTCATACTGGAATCCAGCGGGAGTTTCCGGAGCAAGTACGTCCAGTAACCGTTTCCACTACCAATATCTAGGATCGGTTTTACTGGCTCCTTTGACGGTTTCGAGGGTTGCGCGAGCTTAGCAATCACCCAGAGCGCGGAGAAAGTGGGCACCGCGCAGCCAAAATGGTGGTAGAAAATCGGCAGGATATGGTGCGAGGCTTTCGTGTAAAGGGAATTTGGCCAAGGGCCGGCCCATTCAAGTTCTTGGCAACTGTAGACCCAGAAGGTGAGGTAGGGATTGTCGTGGAGACGCTTCTTGTTAGAAGGTAGGAGGCCGGTTGTGGCGTTGTGAAAGCGGGAGGCTAAGTGGTCCGCAATAGATCGGGAGAGGGTGTCCTTTTTTGCGTTGGATCGAAAGCCACGGAGGGCGCTGGGGAGGGAGACTTCTGGGGTAAAGAGCTTGCAGTAATCGTGGATTTGGTCGAGGGTGGGGGGATCTTGCTAAGGGGTTTCGTTAGCATATTACCCTTCAGATAATCTTTCCACTGTTCCCGAATCCAGTCGGTAGAGCTTAGTCACGAGATTAGTGACCGAAAGAGAGGAACTGCCTGGTGCAAACTTACCACATTTATCCCATTCTCATCGTGATACCAATCATGCAAACCGTTCTTTCTTTTCGCGTCAATCGCCACCTGCGTCAGTCCCAAAGTCGTCGTCCCCAGGGCCTTATACTCATAGCTGTCACTATCCGAGAGATTAAAACAGTTTGAAATAAAATTCCGAAAAGTCCCCGGGTCTTTCGTATACTTCCCCAAAGTCCAGTTGTGGAAAAATACGTCCGGATCAAATGGCCTCCTCGCATCCTCACAATACGGGGGCCTCGGTTTCTGTTGCATTACTAGGGCGTGTTTTAGCGGTCTGGATGCGTCAATGAAATGCGTACAGCGTGTGGCGTGCTCTCGCTGTTTCTTGTGAAAACGACAGGTGGCGATATTATGAGCCTGGTCGCAGTCTTTGAAGTGCTCGAAGCAGGCGCGGATGCGGGCGTTGTCGGACTTGCTCCAGATGGTGTTGGACAAGACGCGGTCGTCGAGGGAATGTCTGGTGATTTTGCCGCTTATGCGGTGCACGCGAACTTCGAGTGAATTGGATATTCTAGGCGGTTGCGCTCGTATTAGATATAAAGTCTTACTATCGAGCATATTCATGACGGTCATAAAGTCTAAAGATCGTACGGCTTGAAATAGAGCATGAATGAGAAGACTTACGGCTTCGAATTGACATATAGCGCAAGGAATGAGAGAACTGGGAGATTGATGAGGGCCAGCCGAAAAGTATAACCAGGGTTGAGTAGCTATGAAATGTAAGAGCTATGTAAGGTAGGGGCAAGTAGGGTGCGAGATGATAGAGAAGTCACGATACAGGACATAGGTGAGAGGCGGGACAGGCGGGGCAGGCATCAGCCAATCACAGGAGAGGATCGCATACCATTTGGTTCCCGAGAAGCAGGGCATGCTCGAGAGCATGAGCAGAAAGGATGCCGTCTGTCGAGTCTCTCGCTATAACTTCATACAAGACAAAGAGAATCTAAAATCCTGCATTAAATTAAGCGCACATGCACTCATTCCAAGTAGCGAAAGGAAAATGGCCCCAGCGGTGACAAGCCCGACTTGCGGTGCTCATATGCGTTCCGTTTTCCTATATCCTATAGTATATCCCAACCCAGTATCAATTTCTTGCTACCCCTTAGCCATTGCCTCACCTATTCATCGACTCCCAGACCCTGCAACCGTCTACCACTTTGCCTCCTTCCTCGCCATAAACTCCTTCAAGATGCCAACCACTTTCTCCAACGCCGCCAACCACTTCTCCAGCTCAGCATTTACCTTGGCCTCGTCGTCTCCTAGCTTCTTATAGAAGTCGTTGCGATATGGTGTGGCGCCCATGGCAGCGCTGAAGATGGGTTTGATGATAAAGGAGTGGTGCGGTTTGAGCGTGTTGCCGTAGGCAGAGCGGAACGATGCGGAGAGCTCTTCGGAGGGGGCTGAGAGGTTTTGGCGGAGAGCTTGGGCAGTGAAGTCGAGACCGCTGAGAGCATGGAGGGTTAGCTGGGTTGAGGATAAAGTGGGGGGGAGGGGGAGGGGGAGGGGGAGGAAGCGCACCGTGAGAGCCACAAAAGCCCTTCGGTGGCGGTGTGCTTCTTCTCCTTGAGCTCGTTCAGGACGAGGTCCTGCAGAGTGGATGATACAGTTGGAGCGGCAAGCTGGCGGTCGCGAGTTTTCTATCCTCTTGAATCAGTTTCGCCGAGACAGAGGGAGGAGTCGATGGAAGCATACCTTAACATTTCCTAGCATATCGCTCTTAACGGGATTGAATGCTACTGAGCCCAGGACATCTATGAACTCGCGTTAACAACATCCCCCCCCCCGCGACCTCGACTCTCGAGAGCCTAAACAAGACCAACCAAAAAGCGTAACCAAGCTCTCTGCCGCCTCCAGAAACTCCGTCGTACTAATTGCGTTATCCTTAGCGGCGTCAACCGGTACGTCTGAGAAGCTCTTCTTCAGGGTGTCGAAAAAAGTTCCTCCAGGGGGAAATGCAGCGGCCATGCTTGCGAGCTGGATAAACTTCGTCTAAGTACCGGTCGTATTGGTCTATTTACAACAAACTTGGAGAAGCGATTTGAAGGACAACGATAACAAGACACGAGCAACGAAGCAACGAGGTAGGCGGGTTATATAAAGAGAATTGCAGCACGGAGATTGCAGCCAAGTTGAAGAAGTGTGAGAGGTTAGGTCGAGCTGAAGCTGAAACGTTGATGTGTCGTAATTAACTTCGCAGACCCTGGAGCGGTGAAGGCGGGGTTGTTTGAGACTTGGCATTTGCCCCGCTAAGGAGCAGGGGCTGGCCGCCCATCCCCATCCCGTGATATGCCCTCCCGTCCTGCCTTCTCCTCGATAAAGGATGAACGAGGGGGCGAGCGAGCTATCCCCATTCCAGACCCTGGAAACATATCCGTCGAGCGAAATGCGGGCTTCTCGCCGACGCGGCAGTGACAATAATGCCGGAGCGTATATCTAGAAGTCCACCGGCGAGCTGCCCATGGTTCCTGAGTCCCCCAGGCTTTCTTGTACGGATCCGTCTATAGAGAGAACTACAAACGCTCCCCCACGATCTTCCCAATAGCTCTCCCCAATAGCTCTCCCCAATAACTCTCCTTAGCGGCTCTTCCCACACCCAACATGCCATCCAATGTCCACTCCGTTTCAAAGATCCACCGCATCGCCAGCATCCCAGGCGACGGCATCGGCGTCGACATCACCGAAGCCGCTATTCAGGTCCTTGACACTCTATCTAAAACCCTTGGAGGCTTTGAATTTGAATTCAAGACGTTTGATTGGAGCAGTAGAGCGTATTTAGAGCGGGGGTGGTACATGCCGCCCGATGGGCTGGACAGACTGAAGGAGTACGATGCGATCTATTTTGGGGCGGTTGGGTCGCCCGGTATGTCTGCACTCTTCTCTGCTCGCCTAGGTGGTGTTCGGATTAGGCGAGTGTTCACTGTTGGAGCCGGATTGAAATGTGTGAGAAGGGCACGTGCTGATAAGGGAGCACATAGATGTTCCCGACCACATATCCCTCTGGTCCCTTATCCTCCCTATCCGCAAAGCCCTAAACCAATACGTTAACATCCGGCCCACGCGAATCTTACCTGGCACCATCTCCCCCCTCACTTCCTGCGCCACCTCCCCCACCTTCCTGGATTGGGTCATCGTGCGCGAGAACAGCGAAGGTGAGTACTCCGGTCAAGGCGGGATATCGCATGAACACTCCCCTAACGCCGTCGCCACCGAGGTCTCCATCTTCACCCAAGCTGGCATCGAGAGGATCATGCGATTCGCATTTGAAACAGCGAGGGCCAGGCCGAGGAAGAAGTTGACCATGGTGACGAAGAGCAATGCGCAGAGACATGGCATGGTCCTTTGGGATAAGGTGTTTTTCGATGTAGCGAAGGAGTATCCAGACGTCGAGATTGATAAGATGCTTGTGGATGCGATGACAGTGCGTATGGTGTTGAATCCGCAGTCGATGGATACGATTGTCGCAACGAATCTCCACGCGGATATATTGTCTGATTTGGCAGCTGCGTTATCGGGCAGTATTGGGATAGCGTCGAGTAGTAATCTGGACCCGACGCGGCAGAATCCGAGCATGTTTGAGCCGATTCATGGGTCAGCGCCAGATATCGCGGGGAAGGGGATTGCGAATCCAGTGGGGGCCTTTTGGAGTGCGGCGGAGATGGTGAGGTGGCTTGGGGAGGGGGAGGCTGCAGATGGGTTAATGAAGGCGGTTGAGAATGTGACGGGGGCGGGGATTAAGACAAAGGATCTTGGGGGTGATAGGAATACGAGGGAAGTGACCGACGCGGTTTGCGCGGAGATTGAGCGGTTGTTTGGAGGGAGGTAGAATAGATGAATAATGCAGTACAAATAAAAATACACGTACCTTCAAGGCCACCACAGTCCCTTCACTTTAAGCCACGCCAGCAATATTATCTACTCGAATGGGTGCTTTCTCAATACAAAAACACCTTCGGAACTTCACTACTCCCCTCCACAACTCTACTCCTCCTCCCCTCCTTGGCGCCATCCTCCCTCCTATCCTCAATCCCCTTAACAAGTCCCCTCTTAAACACCCCAACCGCCTTCCCGTCAATCAACGCCTTACTAATTGGCCCAAAATCATTACTATCGAAACTGCTCCTCCAATTATCGCCCTCGACCCATACATGTCCGAACGGCACCGTCACACTGCCATCATCATGATATACCCCTCCTTCCGTAACATACGCAGACGGTCGCTCCTTCTCACCCCCCATTTTGCCCCTCAAATCCCCCCGCCTCGGAACCACCACATCCCCCTCCACCGCCACAACCCGTTTAATACTAATCTCCTCCGGCTTATGCGGTTTCCAAAACGTCACGATATCCCCCTTCTTCACCCATTCCTCTACTTCCCCGCGCCGATTCTTATAATCCCGTAACCCAAACCGTTTTATAAGCACCCAATCATGCCTCCCAGTCTCATGCGCCTCGGGACTAAGCGTCGGTGCCATGCTACTCCCCTTCACCGTGTCAATAGATACGATGTTGTCGCGGATGAGGAGGATGATGCCGCAGGATAGGCCGACGAGGTAGACGGAGCGGAGGGTTGGGTAGCGAGAGGTTGGACGAGAGGAGGAGGAAGATGACGTCGGAGTGGTGGATGGGGCGGGTTTAGCACCGGACATGGGTTTGAAGTTGATTTTCGACGTTGTACGAGGTGGGAGTGAGCGAGGGGGTGGCGGTTTCGGTATCCTTGCATATATTCGTGGTGGTTTGGGTGGCATATTGGTGGATTGTAGGATTCGTGGGAGGAATTGATGGTGAGAGTGTTCGATAGTGAGAGTGTTCGATGGAGAGAGTGTTCGATGGTGAGAGTGTTCGGTGGAATTGGTGGTGAGAGTGTTCGTTCCACGCTCGCATGTCTCAGCTCTCGAGGAAAAATTGGAGCTTGGACCCGGCACGCCGGCGCTCGGAATGAGCGCAGGTAAGTGCTCGGAAGCGCGATCACGTGGCAGGAACAACCAAAGATGTCGGTAGTCCGGGGTCTAAGCTAGTTCAAGAAACGAAAACACGTAAATGTGGACAAAAAACAAATCTAGAATGCGTCAAATGGCAGATGTATAGTACAAGTACAGACTGGTACATAAAGACAAAATGCATCGCTGCCGTTTCGTCATTGCAACATTTGTCAAATCAAAAACCTAAAAAAAAAAAATTTAAAAAAAATTCTATTTCTTCAATGCCTTGATAACCGCATCTGCAAACTCATAAGTCTTTGACTTTCCGCCGAGATCGCCAGTGATTGTCTGTTCGCTCGCCGTTAGCTATGCTATGCGCTAATTTAATTTAAAGCGATGGATAAATCTAACCTTTCCTTCCGCAATAGTCTTGAAGATGGCGGATTGGATGTTATCAGCGTACTCGTTCAGCCCCATGTGCTGCAACATCATCATGGAGCTAAGAAGCAATGCAGTTGGGTTGGCGAGCTGCTTCCCGGCAATATCTGGCGCAGAACCATGGACAGCCTCGAAAATGGAGCACTCATCACCAATGTTTCCGGAGGGAGTAAGGCCAAGACCGCCGATCAGACCAGCGCACATATCCGACAGAATATCTCCATAAAGGTTGGGCATAACCAAGACTTTGTCGTTGTATGGCGTAGGATCCGTGACCATCTTCAAGCAGGTGTTGTCGAGCAACTCAGCATCGAACTCGATGTTGGGGAAGTCCTTGGCGACATTGCGCGCAGTGCTCAGGAATAGACCATCAGACATCTTCATGATGGTAGCCTTGTGCACAGCACGGACCTTTTTCCTTCCCACCTCCTCGGCATATTGGAAGGCGAATCGCAGGACACGTTCCGAGGCCTCGCGGGTGATGAGCTTGATGCTCTGGACGACGCCATCGACTACGACGTGCTCGATGCCAGAGTACTCTCCTTCGGTGTTTTCACGGATCAAAACGGTGTCGACGCCGTCATATGGGGTCTTGTAGCCCACAATGGACTTGCAGGGCCGGACGTTGGCGAAGAGATTGAATGTGCGGCGGAGAGTGAGGTTGAGGGAGACGTGACCCTTGCCGACAGGAGTCTGCAGCTGTTAGTGGAGTAGTGGAGGTAAGGAGCAGGGGAAGGGGATTGGGGGGGTTGGGGTAGGGCGAGTTGGGAGGCCTGGCGTACAGCGAGCGGGCCCTTCAAGGCGACGTAGTTCTTGGTGACGCTGTCAATGGCTTCGTCTGGGATGACCGTCTTGCCGTCCTTCAGCCGCGGGGTCACGTCCACCGATTCCCACTTGATTGGCACCTTTGCACCCGTCAGTATCCTCTGTAGCATCCCATGCATGGGGTCTTCGCACATTGGCAGCCGAGTAAATGTCCTTCACAGATTGCGCGATTTCCGGCCCGATGCCGTCGCCTTCGATGAGGGTGACAGTGTATTTGCCCTAGTAGAAGGGGCCTCGTCAGTCTCCCTGTCCCATATCGAAAGCCATGCCCCGCCTGTTTGAGCGCAGGCGAGAAGTATTGGTGTTATCGGTGGCTTACATCGTTGCCTTTCGTGCCCTTAAACTTGGCGACTTTGTCTTCGGCGGGCCGGGCGTATGATCGCGACTGGGACTATGGGAATTGCGAATGTTAGCTTTCATATGCTCCAGGCCGCCATTGGCGTCTTGACATCGGCATCTGCTGTGCTGAAAGGCGGGGGTTCACAAACCTGCACAAGCGCGGGAGCCCAGCTGGAGGTTGCGTTCGCCCGGCGCAGGCATTGCCGCGCAGGGGCGCTGAGAGAGCGACAGGCTAACATCGTGAAGCCTATAAAGAACTCAGACACTCGAATTGAGGCTCTGCGCAGAGTGCAAGGAGGGTCTATAGGCGAAAACGAGTGGTGTGCGAAAGCAATGGATGTTGTTGCGAAAGGTTGGCAGGTGAGAAGCTAAGAAAAAGCAAGCTCTCCCTCCCAGACTCCCAGATTACCGACCGTGCATGGACCACAGCGCCCATGTCACACTCTGGTCCCAAAAAGCCGCAAGAAAAAACTTTCACTTGTAACTTTACATTGTTCGCCACTGAATCTTCTCATCTCACCTCGTCTCGTCTTGTTCGTCTATGTACATTCCTGATGAAACATTATCCTAAGAACTCCGCAGAAATGCCTGTTCCTATTCCCCGCATCTAGTCCTGGTAATCGAGTGGTCGTAAACATGACTGCAAATGCTATAATATGGAAATAAGAAAACGGGGGCATGAATAAGTTATGATGACATGGCTTTCGTTAACCCTTCGGAGTGATTAAACGGAGTCGTGCAGGCAGCCCCTTGCCTGAGTGGAACCCCAGGATTCAAAAGCGATGGCAACAGAAAAGAGTGTGTGGCGTCTCTCATGACTAAAGTGGGAGGAATAACAGCATATCATACAGGAAGCTCCACCGGTGGAAGGAGCGGCGTCTGCGGAATAAACGGGCTAAGAGGCGATCCCTGGAAACTTGAACATCTAGACGTGGGACTGAAGACTGCAGGAGGGCTCGGTGGGACTGGAAGCTCAGCAACGCATCCCGTTTTCGGCCTCCCAAACGAGGATTCGAACGACTCTTGGGAGCTGCGATATTGCGGGGTAAATCCCTTCCACATCTTGGCTCTGCGATAGTGTAAGGCTTCACGAGATGGCCGCTTTTTGAATCGCCGATAGAGCATCATAGCGAGCAGACTCAGGCTAATTATACCAGCCACTCCTATTGTAACACCGACACCCATTGAAGCAGAGGCTGAGAGTCCATGCGGCTGTGGTCGCGCCTGGGATGCCCCTGATGCGTATATCTTTGTTGAAGTAGTGACAAAAGGTGCGGGGGTCCTTGATTGGGTAGAGCTAGGCGATGTCGTCTGTGTCGAGGCAGTGCCAGTAGATCTGACAGTACTGGAATGTAATGTGGAAGGAAGAAACGTTGATGTCGCTAGACTCGATGGCGGCGTATCGACAGCGGAGAAAGCAAGATCATTGATCTCATGCAACCTGACAAATGAGAAGGCCTCACCAGGTTGAGGTTGTGTGCTGTTCCTGCTCATCGCCATGCTTCCGGAAGCTGTGAAGTCCAACCGACGTGGCCCGCCATTGGCGCTATTGCTAAAGTAGAAAGTCCCATCGCCCCATGGAAGCACCTTCCAAGCCATCCTGCTATCTGTCTTAGGATGATTGTATATTCGGGGAATGATCTCTCCGCGGGTTTCATCGATGATCTTAGTCGCCAGGTAACCGTTCGGCCCCGAAGACTTCGTTCTCAGCATATACGTCGAGTTACCAATGGGGAAGAACTGCCATTGTTGTGCCGGTACACTGTTATCAGAGCTTCCGTATGTTACAAAGCCCTCATCGCCATTAAGGTAAGGGAATGTCCCAACCATAGATAGCTGGGACCCCATGGCCGCTGCTGAAGTTACGCGATACCAGGCCCGAGGGTTGAAATCCATGGCAGGCAAGAACAAAAGAATGGACGTCCAAAAAGACTTCGAGACGATGAAAGACTTGAAACCGAAAGAGAGCCAGAGTAGTGGGTATGCTGCATTAAGAAGTGTTGGTGGTACCGTTCACCTTCTTTACTTCTCAAACACCTAAGCGCCCCGAGACCTCCAGCCATCAGAATCTCTTCCTGCAACGAGTTATAGAAATTCAGTGATGTGATTAGCTCTTTCTCTCGCATATATGGCGTTGGATCACCTCAGGTGGGGTGTGCACCGCAAGTAATAGAGAGCGAAAGGTGGGCAGAGATAGATAAAATTAGACTTGACTCAAGGCGTGAAAGGCAGGCAGGGCGATTCGAACATTTAGCGAGGATAAGAGCTTCTCCGAGCGATTGGAAATTTTCCGAAATAATCCCATTTGACGAGAACGAGGAGTTTGTTGTTCGGCATGCAGAAAGCAGGTCGCCCAGCGGCTACAGAACGCCACCAAACCCGGTCGTGGGCCACAACCGAATAAACGTCAACGTGAGTTGAAACGGCCCTCGAAAGCCACGGGGTCAACAAGATACCTAAATTTAGTGATAGTAAGTTGTACAAAAGTCCGAGTCTGAACTTAAACTCCTGGTTGGCGCATCTAGTAGGGGAAATGGTGCGTGGTAGCGCTCGTTATCTGAGCGCCTATTGCGAAGGCCTGACGGGGAAGATTGAAAGACGATGGAATTTGTGAGTTCGCGGGAGAAGCAAATAAAGAGAAAATAAAGAGAGCTGTTGTTCTCAAAGGAGCAAGCTGATAACCGGAAACACGGAGATGGGGGACAGGGTTACATATCCAAAGAAGGGCTTCTCGAAAACCAGCGTAGAAGAGCTTGAAGCATACATTCTTCCCTATGATGGCTGTGCTCAAGGAAGTACGCTCGGATCTACTTAGCCTCAGCTGACTCTGAGGGGTTTTCTAGTGGAACGAATCATGACCGTAGCTGAGAGGCTCCGATAGACATCCCCGGCGATGTTGTGTAGTGAATAATTGAATTGCAGTCGATCTCCTCCAAGAGGTGAGAATGAGGTTCGGGACATCTGGAAATCGTCTGCGAAGCTGTCCACCTTAGGGGCTCATCCGAGCCCATAATACGATAGGTCAAGATGAGGCTTTACTAGATGTCCTGCGGCGCTAAAACGAGCAGTTCGAAACTTGGGACTACGGCCTTAGCTAGTAGGGGAGCAGATGGGAGGTATTCACATAGCCTTCACTTTAATAAGCGAAAAATGAGGGAGTAGACGGAAGAGAGGTTGTGAAAAACTGGGAAAAACTGGGGAATGACGATGGTTGAAGGATTCAGACGCTTAATGCATGGTGCAATGCCAAGGCAAGCCCAGAGGCTAGGCCAGAGTAACACTAGCGCACAAACTCTTGGTTTTGAGCCGCGTGGCTAAGCTTCTGCCGCCACAGCATCCTCAACAATTCACCCGGCCACGTCTCCCCTTGCTGATCGCTCTTCTTCGCCTCACGGCGAGTTCCTGCTCCGGTACTCCAACGCTTAAAGTACACCGTGTGTAGTGGAAACGGACATTTTATCCACCCAAGGCGTCTATCAGCCCCTTTGTCTGTCTTTCCCTTTCTTCATATACGCGGTACAAGGGTTTGCAGAAGACCAATGCATTAGGAATGACCTCATTGCGAGCAAATTCCGCATAACCCCGCCGTATTCACCCCAGAAATACATGGGCATCTTGGGAAATCAATGCCTGTTGGATGAGGTGACATCTCTTCGTCGTCCCGGAAGTTCCACCATCCAACGAATCAGGTCATCAGAGGAAAAACGCCGACCGTTTCAGAACGGAGCCATTCACCGCAGCAAGAAAATGCGATCGTCATAGCGATCCATTTAGATGCATCCTTAGCATAGAACAGGATAATCAGATTGATTGAATGGAGTTGAATGGCAACCTTGAGAAGCACAGTAGAGTATCGTCCATTGAAGCATCAGGCAAACCCCTGCGGCCCGAAAGCCCAGCTCCTGTTGTGCAAACAACCAAAGACACGGCTTTCTCAGAAATTCGATCGAGGGCTGTCCGAATTCCACACAGTCAGCCAAATGCGTAATCCCCGCGCCACAGCTAAACCACCAGCGTCCGAAAACGGCTACCCCATCCAAGTTTTGGCCCCTCAACTAACATTTTTAGAAGCACATTTCGTCATGGATGGAAGAAAGGCTGGCTTGCTAGGTCGATCCTCTAGCTTAAGCTTTACCTCTCAAACAACTTTCTCCACAAAAGGTGTTGCGGGTAAGCAAGGCACCGGCCAATTGGAACCGTGCTTGAAGGGTGAAAATTCTCCCATCGGGGATAGTGTCTGAGAAGAAGTGCAGGAGTGGCGCTGCCAGCCATTCAGCAAGGAGAGTAGTACGTAACAAAATAAGGGATAAGGCGGTGCGGCAGGATGACGGCGTACACCCGTTTGTTTGTTGCTCAGCTTTTAAGAAGGCTGTGACCTTGCTCGGCTTGAGGCTTAGGATTACGTCGTGCGAGAGTATAAGACAGCCTCTTCTCCAACCCAAAGCCTCTCCCTTTCATCAGCTTTCACTCGGCCAAATCGAAGTTCTTAAATCTTTCCCTTCAGTCATTCCATTACTTACTACTGTACGTTCTGCAAGTAGTCCTGTATTCTTCCAGCATCACTGACACTTCACCCACAGCTCACATAGCCTTTCCACTACCGACATTTTAATCAACATGCGTTTCTCCAGCGTCTTCGTTCTCGCCCTCGGCGCCGCTTCCGTTGGCGCTCAGGACCTCTCCTCCATCCTCGGTGGTGTCTCTTCAGTCCTCAGCGGTGCCGAGTCTCTTGCCAGTTCTCTCGCCAGCAACTCCAATGTTCAGTCGGTCCTCAGCTCGGTCAACTCACAAGTTTCATCCGTTGAAGCATCCCTCTCCTCTCAATTCGCTTCTGCTACTGGCTCTCTGGCCTCTGGTGCAAGCTCTGCTATCGCCTCTGTTGAGAGCAGTGTGAAATCGAAGGCTAGCTCTGCTTTGGCCTCTGCTACCAGTGCAGCTGGCTCCGCTGCCTCTGTATCTCAGAGCACGGGTATGGCTGTTCCAACTGCCATGCCTGCCATTGGCGCTGTTGCTGGTGGTCTCTTGGCTGTTGCTGGACTTTTATAAACGATGGCTGTCACTTTCATTTCGATTTGACAAGTCTCAAAAAGTTCGTCTCGACAGTTTTGTCGGCGACATCAAGTTCCCCATCATCACGATTCATGCAATCCCTTTTTGACCTCAACTATGATCTTGGGCTTGGAATGGACGGATTGGGCAGGTTGGCATATTTGGGTGTTTCAGGAATTGATTAAATTTGACTAAATTGTAATATACCAGTCCACAAAAACTTCATCCCTGTGTCAGCATGCATCTCTGGCTATTCTTTTGACAATCCAATGTGGCCTCCTCATGCCCCTTCGCTAGCGCCATCCCTTTCAGAACTAAACCCGCCCCTAGTTACAAGGCCACCACCATCAGTCTTGCCAAAATTCAACTCACTAGCTCGCCGCTCAATCTCACACAAGTTTCACCTAACTCAGCCCGTCAGACGCCACTTTACTGCATGCATGCATGTGCCTAGCTCCAAGGTTCAATGAAGTTCAGGCGCTATCTGTTTCCGGCTTTGGCGGCTGAGATCTGTGTGACGTCATTTGCGAGATGATCAAACTGGGCCGGGGGAGTATAGATTTGGAAGGTGCTTGTTTTAAGGGGAGAGATCGGATCGGTGATGATGGTTTGAGGTTTATGTGGCTAAGCGGAAGTTTGATACTTCGTGCGATCGATGCTGACAAGACTGGACGTGGTGTACATTCACTGGACGTAAAAAAACGCTAGCTGTTTAAGGCTTAGTTTCGTTCTGCTCACCTCTTCGACTCTCCAGAAAGTTGGGGATTACCTTGCGTGTAGGATAATAGTGGTATAGTATCTATAACTCATAGCATCAGAAGCGTGAAGTTGAGTAAAGGTGATACGTAAGTGAGACCCGGGTTTGTGCATTGTATCTGCAAAAGCAAAAGGCGACCTGATTCACCTACGTGCTATAATAAGGTAGCACCTATGGGAGACGAATATAGAAAGATGTCGAGTTGGCCGTGGGCCTGGAAATGCAGCCCAGAGAAGTAACTCTTCGACTTATCTACCTCGCGTATACCGTAACCAATGTCCCTGATATTTGAAGCTCGGCTGTCCGTTCAACTCACTTCATTCTCCATCCATGCAGATGCTCAGATCTTGCGGGCCGTCCACTTCTTTGATATACCCGAGTCACAACTATCAAACGAGACCTTCAGCTATCTGGGGGCCTAGATAATCGGTGAAAGGTCTTGGCATTCTTGCTTCGTCAAATGCCCACCCAAATCACTAGTTAAGTCAGACCAGCGCGCAACTAACGCGCATTGTTGCCTCCTCTTGCATGGACTAAGGCATATAAGTTAATCTTAAATTACTACCTATTTAAGTGATTATAAGGCTAACTGCTATTGTTTTCGAGAGTCCTTTAGAGTTACTTTACTTGTAAGAGCACTGTGCGCAGGAAGCATGAAGCGCAGAAGAGGGGATAGGATAGTCTTAATAGACAATTTCGTAAGAAGTCTTAGAGGTTTAAGAAAGAATATACACATAACAGGACGTTATATGCCTAAAGCTAGGCTAAGGGCTCTCTAGAGGAAGTCTTAGGCATGTTCTAGCTAACTATAACATACTTCACAGGCAAGTTGCTTACACACCTAAGTTGCTTACTTTTACTAAGACCTTACTACACTACTTTTTTTACACTAATGCATTTCTAATAACACTACTTAGACATGTTAAAAAACATTAAATATAGCTTATACTTTAAGCTTTTAAATAAAATATAACACTTTTTAAATAATATGCTATAGCTATTTATAAAGTTTTTTTAAAAAATAATAAGTAACTAACACACTAAATAACCTTTTTAAGTAAATTATATAGCTAACTTATAAAAGCTAAATAATAATAAAAAGTAAGTAATTATTTAGCACATACTTAAGCTAAATATGTAAGAATTTCTCTTTTAGCTAGTAGCTATAGCTAATATAGCTAATTCTTTACACACTAAGTATAATATAGGCTATATTAGTATAAACTAGCTTAATATATTTATTAAGCGCTATTTAAAGCTTAAAGTAAAGTTTAAGTATAACTATAACTATAAAAAAGCTTTTTATAAAATTTTTATAGTAATTTAAAGCTAGTTTAACTTTATAAAGAATATTAAAGCTAAGTATAGCATTTAAAATAATAATATATACAACTTTAATAAAATAAAGTTTATAATAAGCTAGATATTTACTAGAGCAGTTATTATAAGTTTAAAGAGATAAGAATAGCTAAAAGCAGTTTAGCTAGGTAACTAGAAGTAGATAATAGCTATTTAAAGCATTAATACTAAAAAATAAGCTATTTTACTTTTTATTATTTTTTAAAGTAGTAATTACTTTTTAAAGTAGTATAAAAAAAATCTACTTTAAAATTAAGTTATTATAGTTTTTAAGTATAGCTAGACTACAAATTAGCTTAGTCTAGACTAGTTAAAGCACTTTAATGTGTATATAAAAAAGTGTACTATTAGTAGCTACTATGTACTAGTTATTAATAGCTATAAAAGCTATAACTTACTTTATTTTTAGTAATACTATAAAAATAATAAAATTATTACTATTTATATACTTTTTTATGTATTACACTTTTTATAGCTAGTTAATGTAGGTTATTTTATATTTTAAAAAAGTATATAAGTGCTAAGCTAAAAACCTTATATATAACTAAATTACTTATATTATAAAAATAAAGTTTTTACTATAACGTACTTTATAGGCGAGTTGCTTACACACCTAAGTTACTTACTTTTGCTAAGACTTTACTACACTACTTTTTTTATACTAATGCATTTCTAACAACACTACTTAAACATGTTACAAGAATATTAAATATAGCTTATACTTTAAGCTTTTAAATAAAACATAACACTTTTTAACTAACACACTACAGCTATTTATAAAGTCTTTTAAAAAATAATAAGTAACTAACACACTAAATAACTTTTCTAAGCTAATTATATAGCTAACTTATAAAAGCTAGATAATAATAAAGAGTAAGTAATTATTTAGCACATACTTAAGCTAAATACACAAGAATTTCCCCTCTAGCTAGTAGCTATAGCTAATATAGCTAATTCTTTACACGCTAAGTGTAATATAGGCTATGTTAGTATAAACTAGCTTAATATTTATTAAGTATTACTTAGAGCTTAAAGTAAAGTTTAAGTGTAAGTATAACTATAAAAAAGCTTTTTATAAAAATTTTATAGTAATTTAAAGCTAGTTTAACTTTATAAAGAATATTAAAGCTAAGTATAGTATCTAAAATAATAACATATATAACTTTAATAAAATAAGGTTTATAATAGGCTAAATATCTACTAGAGCAGTTATTATAAGTTTAGAGAGATAAGAACAGCTAAAAGCAGTCTAGCTAGGTAACTAAAAGTAGACAATAGCTATCTAGAGCATTAATGCTAAAAAGTAGGCTATTTTACTTTTTATTATTTTTTAAAGTAGTAACTACTTTTTAAACTAGTATAAAAAAAATTTACTTTAAAATTAAGTTATTATAATCTTTAAGCGTAGCTAGACTACTAATTAGCTTAGTCTAGACTAGTTAAAGCACTTTAACGCGCATATAAAGAAGCATACTGTTAGCAGCTACTGTCTACTAGTTATTAATAGCTATAAAAGCTATAACTTACTTTATTTTTAGTAATACTATAAAGATAATAAAATTATTACTATTTATATACTTTTTTACTTATTACACTTTTTATAGCTACTTAATGTAGGTTGTTTTACTTCTTTAAAAAAAG